TTGGTGATTTCAAATGTCAACATTGGCTACCAGAAATCGCTTACCCCACCTTTAAGTCATGTAAATTTGTATTAAAATGAAAAATAATCAATACTGAATAAATTCGTCTCTAAAATAATTTTTTTCTGTTCTAAAATATTTTAGCAGATAGAAACAGCAGGTAAATTTCTATTTTTGTCTACAAACATTTTATTTTATATTTTATTTTATTATCACAAACTGTCAAAAAGTTATGTTAATTTATTCACCATAAAGAGTGTGAACCCTGAAGAACATTACATTTTTTAATGTCTGGAATTACAGACTTTAACTAATTTATTTTAATTATTTATAGTTACTTTATTTAATTATTTTAATGTACTACCACTCCTAGCTTCAGTGAATACAAAAGGTTGAAATTAGCAATTTTGTATTTACAACAACAACAAAAAAAAAATATTGCAATCTTTTATTCTTAATTATATTCTTACATTTCTCCAAATATCACAAAATAACACTGCATACAGCACCTGCAGCTCCTACTGAGGCTCCAATACAAATCTCTTGTGGTATGTGTTAGGATAGTACAAGCTTTTATTTACACATGACAGCTGTGTGCCCTCCAGTATTCCCGTTACATTACTGCCATTCAGGCACATCAATCTCTGCCAGGGCCTCAAAATACTATCCATCTTATCTATCATTTTCCAGCATCTATATTCTGTTTCCATCATGCATCTCTCATCTGTTTACCTCACCCAGTACTGATTCAGACTCACCTCTCTTAGAATCACTTTTTGATGGAAACTTCAGAATACAAATAAAGGATAGAATATCAAAACAACATCTGATTCTACATCTATACATCTTCCTTTTTGAAAAATTCAATTCAATTCAATTCAATTCAATTCAAGTTTATTTGTATAGCGCTTTTCACGATACAAATCGTTGCAAAGCAACTTTACAGCAAATTAAGTTTCTACAATATTTAGTGGTAGCTTATCAGTGGTGACTGTCAGTTAATGTACGGAAAAATCAATTAAAGACGTAATCAAACAGACGATGAACACTATTAACAGCAATTATTATATGATGCAATCAAACTTATAGCAAAATGTGGTAGTTCTGTATGTTGTTTCAGGGTTTGCATCATCTGAGGTCCTCTGAGGGGTTGGCATCATCTCTTCTCAGGTGTTCTGGATCCAGACTGAAGCTTGTGTAAATCCTAGTTACCACGGGATGTCAATGGGGAAAACTGTGAGGGAATATTTAGATCGGGTGGCGTCTGGTTATTTGTTAATCTAGCCACTGTGCTAAATAAAAACCTTGGATTGTTTTGGTTATTTTCTATGAGTTTGTGGATATGCTTGGCCCTGGCAACTTTTAAAAAGGGAGTTAAGGTATGTTTTGTATGTTATAATGAGACTTAAAGAGGGGAGATGTCATATGCCTTTCTGAGCCTTACAATACAAAATGGATGTAGCAGTGGTTATTGAGGTGAGAAATGGTTGAATTTGACAGATGTAACCATGTTTCAGAATTACCTTTTGTCCAATATGTCATTTCATTTTACTTTTTCTCTCCCTGATATGTCTCTTTCTGTCACCATCATCCTTCTCTGCTCTGCCCCAAAAGAGATTTAAAAAAATCTCTGGTATTTTCAATTCCCTCTTCATTTTGCAACTGATCTAAATAGTTTTTATCTCTCTAAAAAAGCCAGAGTAGCACATTCCAAACAGAGCAAGAGAAAGAGAGAGAGACCTAGAAGGCATGCTGAACTCTTCACCCATACCATATTAGGAGTAGGGCAGCACAAAATCTGAGGCATGCAGTTTTTGAAAGTGTAGATCTCACTGATCATAAGCTGAGGGTGTGTAAGACCATGGCCATAACCAGGGTTTGAAAATTAAGAATTGTGCTATAATAACACCTACAAAAATACAACTTGTACACTAAAAACTTTAAAAGAGACAGTAGATGTTTGTGAAAGATGTTTTCTCTGAACATTGGATGAACATTGTTAAATTAGACCATATTTATTGCATCAAAATTTGTTAATATTTTACTATAGGTTAGGGGTGGATAATTTTATATATATTTTGTATTATTCATGCAACATTACTGTTATAGATTTCATTAATAAGCATTGCTATATAAATGATAGCTTTGTCTAGTGCTCTTATGAATGTTTATAACATGACTGTGAAAGATTACCTTCTATATTGAATGAAATAGCATAGACTTCTTCATGGCCAGTGTTTGGGTATTTCATTTAATTCTGTAACCTACTTGTTTTGTGTCAATGATGCAGTGTTGCCAGATATTGCTATGAAAACAAATAAAAACCAAAAAATAAATAAAATAAACCAAAATTTGTTCAAATAAGTCATTTTGTAAATAAGATAAGATAAAGCTATTGCTAACCCTAAACTGCAACTTCCCACTTTACTAACTTTCCAAAGTGTCAAATTAAGAGGAAAAGATCAGGCCAAGAAAGCTTATAATAGCTGGATCTGGCAACGCGGTCAGTGTCTCGCAGTGACATGTATAGTTCTTCATCAGTTTCACACCACAGACACTAAAAATTCTAGCAAACTGTCTAAACTGAATTAGCTATACATGCAGACTGAGGAGTTTTAAATGGCAAATTAGTCATTCAGAAAGCAAACTGCTGATCAGTTTCCCAATATATCATGGTTAAAAACAAACAAACTGATTTTTGATATTTTTAATACAAATAATAATTATAATGAGAAATGATTTCTGAAGGATCATGTGACTCTGAAGACTGCTAAAATTGGCTGCTGAAAATTCAGCTTTAAATTACATTTTAAACTATATCAAAATAGAAACAGTCATTTTAAATTGTAATACTATTTCAAAATAGTATTGTTTATACTGCATTTCCTATCAATTAAAAGCATTTTGTATCTGTTGTAAAAACTGTACAGGACTATGCCCTGTAACTTAAAGAACATTGGTATGGCTCTGAGTGGCACAAAATCAATTTTAAATGCATTTTTTAAAGGTATTATACATGAAAAAGGTCTTTGTGATACAACAAAAAAGTATGCTTTCTTATTTTCCTTATGCATTCATGAAACTTCACAGTCTGACAGGGGGATCACATATGGAATGCATGCTAAAACATTTTATTCAGTCTATATGAGATGCAAAGATAGATTTCTCATAATAGAGCAGCACAGCACCTCCTGTTGAACTTACACTAACATTGCAGGATCTTCAGAGCTCTGGCCGCTCGCTCCATCCACGTTTAATAAGGTGAAAACACGCAGTAGGGCTATTTATGATGTTGAACTTAAACAGAACTTCTCCAGGTCTAACACTATTAACGGTGGTGCTTTTGCCTGGTTGCTTGGCAACAGAGTGCCTGAGGTTTGAGGTTGTTGGGGAAATCTGTGGTAATCTACACTCACACAGAAGCCAAGCCAGAAGTTTGTGGTTCAAGTAGTTGGCAGTGCCTGTAATGACTTGTGTTTATGGTTCATATAGTCAATTGAGAAGCTCATCTAGAAGGGATACTGAAAATCCAAGTGAAAATAAAACTGGCCCTTGTCTCTGATGTGGTATGTTTTCATTGGCTCTGGAACATAGGCATTCAGTCAGGTATGGTCTACAGACTCATAGGTGTCTCCTAGTGGTGGACTGCATGTACTGCATTCACCCTCAGCTACAGTGGGTACGGAAAGTATTCAGACCCCCTTAAATTTTTTTTCTTTTTTAATAAATCTGCAAAAATGTCAACAATTCTGTGTTTTTCTGTCAATATGGGGTGCTGTGTGTACATTAATGAGGAAAAAAAATTAACTTAAATGATTTTAGCAAATGGCTGCAATATAACAAAGAGTGAAAAATTTAAGGGGGTCTGAATACTTTCCGTACCCACTGTATATAAATGCTCATTTAAAAAACTGTGCCAATTTCAACCCCTATTTTGTTTAAATTAATGCTGTCAAGCGATTAATCGTGATTAATCGCATCCAAAACAAAAGTTTTTGTTTACATAATAAATGTGTGTGTACTGTGTATATTTATTATGTATATATAAAACAATCAATCAATCGATCAATTAATCAATATTAATTGATCAATTGATTGATTGTTTTGAAATTAATGATACTGGATTTGATATTTTGATATCTGATACATTCTTACAAATTTAAAGGAATAGTTCACCCAGAAATTAAAATTCTGTCATTAATTACTCTCCATCATGTTCCAAACCTGTAAGATCTGCATAGACAGCAACACAACTGACACGTTCAAAGCCCAGAAAAGTAGTAAGGACATCATTAAAATAGTCCATGTGACATCAGTGATTCAACCGTAATGTTATGAAGAAACAAGAATACGTTTTGTGCACAAAGAAAACAAAAATAACGACTTTATTCAACAATTTCTTCTGTTCCGTGTCAGACTTCGATGCGTGTTTACGACAGACTATTTTAATGATGTCCTTACTACCTTTCTGGGCCTTGAATGTGTCAGTTGTGTTGCTGTCTATGCAGGGTCAGAAAGCTCTCGGATTGTTCCGAAGATTAAAGAAGGTCTTACGGGTTTGGAATAACATGGGGGTGAGTAATTAATGACAGAATTTTCATTTTTGGGTGAACTATCCCTTAAGTGTGAATGAAGTGTCCAAATGCCTTTTGAGGCTTTGAAAAAGTACAGTAGCTTAAGCAATATAACATGGCACTAGCAATGCCATAGTCACGAGTTCTATTCACAGAACACACATGAACCGATATACTGCATAACCTAAATGCCAATGCAAATACAATTTGTATATATGCATATTCAAGTAATAATCTAAACCACAAAAAGCATAATGAGGAAAAATACAGAAATTGGTAAGCACAGCTCTGATGAATTAATCCAAATAACATTTATTTTAGCTGCAACAACCACATCTTGTGTGATTACGGAGAGTAAACAGGGTTTGAATAGAGAAAAGGATAAATTATAGTGTTCTGATGAGTCGTCCTCCCTGTAGCTGAATCACAATGGAAACAGTCACTAATTATTGGCATGATCCATGCGGGCCTATTGTTTCTAATCATGTGACAACTCTTTGGACATGCTCTGAAGTGATTCCTTTGGGAGAACAACTCCCCCTATAACAACAATTAAATCTGAGCCATTTTCACGAACTTGGAACAAGAAGAAAAGCAGAGAGAGAATGCAGGGACAGAAATGTTTTTCTAGTAAAATCAGTGGAAACACTGAGCGCTTTGTCAAAAAGGTTAATTTCACAAAACAAACCGTCGGAGTCTGGCAAAAACCCAGTAATTGATGGTGAAAGCACCCTTAACTGCACAATTTTCACACAGGATTTGATCGATCTGGCAAACGACCAATTCAACAAGCCCTACAATGAAACTCAATAGGAGGTTTGGGGTGTAGTTATCACATCGTGAAAACTATAGTCCTCTAAACACAAACCCCTAAATAGAACTGTTAACGGTGTTAATTTCAGCGGCGTGTTGGAGTACCTTATGAAACGTGACTGACAGTTTATAGCCGGCTTTAATCTGGATCGCTAATGGACTGGAGAGAGCGAGAAAGTTTGCTAATAGCTGTTCTTCTCTTTCTGAGTGATGAGAAGTAAACGTCAGGCCTCTTGGCTCCCAGCAGGTGGGTCTGGTACTGATGGCCTGTCCGCCTCTCTGACAGCAGGATCGAGACAGACCAGGTGCGAGAGAACCGGCGAGGGAGGTGGGGAAGTATAGAGGGACAAGACCGGGCCGTTTTTCATAAGTGGTTATGGCACAGATGAGGACTGATTTGTGAACGGCGAGCTGTAAATTTACTCAGTGAAAATGTATTAATGTATTCACCAGAGCCGAATATTACTTCAGCTGATAAAGCACAGCACAGCCGTAGGCTCGGAAAGTGTCGGATCATTTCAAGCCACATTTCGATGCCCTTGGGATTTGTAGCTGTGAATGACTGTATACGCATTACATGATTTTAAAAGCGAAAGATATACTAAAAATGACTTTGCATTTACATACAGACAACCTCGTGCAGCTATGAGAAAATGAAAGGGTTTTGAAACCGTGTTAAAGACAACATGAAAAGAGCATTCACAACACAATGCATCTTCTTAGTGTATTCAGCTGAAAAATTATGTAAGGCAGGAATTTGACTGGATGCAAACATGTTAGGCTATGATATTATTGTAATATTTTAAGATTTTTCCCCCACCTGCACACACTACCAGTCAAAAGTTTTTGAACAGTAAGAACCTTTTATTTAGCAAGGATGCTTTAAATTTACCAAAAGTGATGATAAAACATTTATAATGTTACAAAAGATTTCTATTTCAGATAAATGCTGTTCTTCCGCACTTTCTATTCATCAAAGAAACCTGAAAAAATCAACTCATGTTTTTTGAGCAGCAAATCAGAATATTAGAATGATTTCTGAAGGATCAAGTGACTGGAGTAATGACTGCTGAAAATTCAGATTTGTCATCACAGGAATAAATAACATTTTAACATACTGTACATTAAAATAGAAAACAGGGATTTTAAGTAGTAATATTGTGAAATATTTTTACTATTTAAAATAACTGCTTTCTATTTGAATATATTTTAAAATGAAATTAATTCTGAAATGAAAGCTACATTTTCAGCATAATTACTCTAGTCTTCTGTGTCACATGATCCTTCAAATGCAGGCTTGGTGAGCAGAAGAGAATTATTTAAAAAACATTAAGAAATCTTACTGTTCAAAAACCTTTGACTGGTGTGTGTATATATAAATATTTCTAAAACATATTATGGGGAGATAAAAAGTTCCTCAAACTTCCTCAAACTGAGGAATTTAAATTTTCTCCTATGAGTCATATAAGACTGATGTATCCAACAGATATGCAAACTTTTTTTTTTCAATTTTGTCTATAGGTTCAATAAACAGTTCCATTAAAAAAAAAAAGAATAATAGATTTTTCTGACTATTCATATATCAGGTTTTACAGGGTTAAGAAGGGCAAATAGAAGCCATTTTGATATCACTTTGTATTTAAAGACATACAAATTAATTGTCATGACAGCTGGCAACAAGAGACACTGTCCTAAACTGTCACATAATGGCACAACCTTTGTGCCAGGGTCCAGCTGACAGTGTGACTCAGTAACTGGACTCACCTGACAGGCCACCGACATCCATCTTCTTCAGGTTCTTGGCCTCCAGAACGACCACGGTCAATTTGCCAGCAGTGGGCACATACCGCAGAGAGAAACAGATGTCACCCAGCTTCTCTTGCTGTGAGTGGCAGAGAAAAGTTCAATCAGGGACATCATTGTCAAGGTAAAGAGAAAAACCGAACCTGAAAACCTGGTCAAATGTATTCACTAAATGAATTCTCTAACAAAAATCAACATTTCTTTAGAAGCAAAGCCAAACCGAAACATCTCCAGCTAAAATAATTTTGCTAGCACAAAAGACTAAAATATTCCCCTTTACACAAAACATTTTTTTTTTACGTTCGCCCACCCAACAGGATTTATAAGAGAAACTGAATTGAGGAGCATAGTGTTTGTATTATTTGAATCTGATTAATTTTCCACAAATGTAGCTGCACCGGTAAACACTGAAAATACATTTACACGTACACACATTGCATTAATATTTCAGGAGCCATTCTAATAAACATGGACACAAACACATGTGACATATAGAAAACAACAGGAAGGGGGAAAAGGTTACATCACTTTACTTTCAACTGGCTGATGCCATTTCCACACAATCAATTTTCTGTCAATTAAAAGGTCATCAGAATGGAAAAATAACATTTCATAGTTTAATTAAACAAGGTAAGTCCTACAAGGTAAATAAGTTGAATCGACTGCCGAGATTTTTTTTCTCCTCTTTTTAAAATTGTGTAGGAAAAAAAAGAGCAAAGAGGACCGAACTGGGTGGAACTACAAGAATCTACGGCATTTTACAATCGATTTTCATTTAGTTTTTTACAGGCACTTAAAGTGCCACCCTCAGGACACCACTCTAGAGATTCTTTGATAAAAGTCAATACGCTCTAGCTTTCTCAAGCAGTGCTTGGAGTGCTCCGTTAGTTCATCGGACATGGAGTGTAACAGAAGCACAAACTCAAAGAGCAACCTTCAACGTATGTAGATAGCCTTCAAATCTCTGCCCTCAGCAGGCTTTTGACGGCGTCATAATTAACCTTTACACCAAGGAACCGTGGCACAAAAACAAGGTTCCCATAGAAACCATGGCTTAAATGCTATATTCCATGACATTTACCATGAAAATTGAATCTCCCCAACCACTGCTTGGAAAGTCACACTTTTTATGAATAAAAATGTGGCACGGCCCAGCTGATTAAACTGACATTTCCATTGAAGATGGATAGCCCTCAAGTCTTGCACTTGTACAGTTAGTACATTTCCATGCAGCTCCTGCTAAATTATATTTACTCTTGTTGTGTACAACCTTTTCAATATACGAGTTAACATTTGGGAACATTTCAAACTTATTTGGTGGATTTGTTAAAGAAAAACACGGGGAGCATAAAGGCTAATTCACATTGCACAGACAGACCAATGGCGACACTCACCAGATTACAGTACGTAATTTCTCAGACATTCCAAGACCCGACAAACACGATTCAATATGTTCAATCAGACAAAACAAGCGCCAATGCCAACAGATGCCATCGGGGTAAAACACTGGTCTGTCAAAAACTGATGAATGCATCTACTGCAATTTGTCTGCGTTTCCATTGTATACAGCAAATCTTGTAAAGGTGCACACTTTTTCTTATTTTTAAAAAGTTACATTTATTTTTAAATAAAAAAAAATTATTTTACTATATTCTAAATCTGCGAGGATGTATCGTTTCAGTAGCCTAATAAAAACTCTAATTTTACACAAAATGGGTCTCCATGTTGAGATCACATGTCTAGAAAAACAAAAACCAAAAAATATTTTGACTCATTCACTTAGCAGTTGCTGCCAACTGGTATAACAATGTTAACTTCAGCAAAAAAATCTGAATGTGAATGGATATGATGTAAATTTTCTGTATGAATGGTTTGAAAAGATTCAAGTCACTAGGAAGAATCACTACTAGTGAACAACTGAATTGGCAAAAATCCCACTTGTGCTCCAGAAGGTCAGGCAATAAAGATGGACTATTCACACAAAAGCTAATATTCAAGCACATTACCAGGGAACAGGTTATTGCCACCCATGCATATGAGCTTTTTACCTCTTCTTTCTCAGCGCTCTGGAGGTCCCTCCACTCCTCAGTCACATGACTAAAGTCGACCTTATTCATGGGCACCTTCACGTCTCCAATAGCATCGTGTTTGGAGAAGCGGTCAAAGTCATACACCGTCATCACCAGAGTTTTCCCTCCAAGCTCAGTGTAGGGAACCTGTAGGATATGAGGGGTGAAATTAATAGCATGCATACCTACCATTCTAATCTCTCTCAATTCCAGTTACGGAACTTATCTAACGCTGAGATGCTGGGATGAAGCTATAGGACAATTGCATGTGCGCAAGAGAAAGAGAGAGAGATTTGATTCTTGATTACCTCCAATTGAGCTGTTTTTTTTTCAGACAAAACTCATTATCCCGAAGGACTTGTTCCAACATGGCGACAAACTGCTTGATTGGCCGGGAAAGAGATAAGACCCAAGGGTTGCTATTTTGTCCTTGACGCTATCACACACACCAGCTCTCCAGTCTCTTCATTTCAATAATGAAGGCACTTGTGATTACATGTCAGAGCTCTGTGGTTATCTCTCTCTATGTTGGCGTGCAGCTCATTTCTCATTCTCAAGGTACCTTGTCATAGTTGAAATTGCGCTAGGCTAAACAAGAACCAAACACGCAAACAGTCCTTTACAATTCTTTTAGGAATTCCAACACTTCACTTAGCAATTTAATAGAAGTCTAGAGGTCTGAGTGCGGTAATTACACAAAAAGGTCTTTCTAGCCACATGACGTCCTATAAAAATGAATCAGAAATCTCTACTGAACATTCAAAATAGAAATTATTCTACTTTCCGGATGACAGACACCTGCAGGAGTCCATCTGCATGTTTACATGTAATTACTCCAACGCATCGTGCCATTTACTGTCTTGTTAATACACCAGAAGAAGTAGTCAGAAATAACTCTATATACTGCATGAGTAGAATGCAAACGCACGGATCCAATGAGAAATCACTTGTTATAATTCAATTCTGTTAGGTTTGTGACCTACCTTAAAGGTGAATTGCTCATTGAAAACGGGATTCAGTGTCTTCCGGTGGACCTTGGTCTCAAATTTCTTCTTCTTGTCTGGAAGAAGGTAGACCTTCACATAGGGGTCAGAAGTGCCACCCATATCCATAGCGGGCAGCTCTGCTGCTTGGATGATCCCCACTATGAGCTATGAAGGGTCAAACGTCAAAGTTAAAGAGATCATGAGTAAGACCTTGAAGAGAAGTGTAGTCTTTGTCTAAACCATCACCCCACCACCATTCTGTAGGAGCTCACTGTAATGCTGGATCAGATTTATGTGAAGACAGTTGGTCTTCTTTTTCTAAAGCACCAAGATCTGCTGTCTAACATAAGTTCTACACATTCATGTAGATTAAAAGTATCAGGGTCTTTCCATAAAACTGGTGTTTTTTCAGCTTGTCTGGTGACTTTCAAGCTTTTTGTTATTGTTACCTAGAACTTAAACTATTAAAAATTGTTTCGAGTAATTGTAATAAAACTGACATAAAATATAAATATAAAATAAAAAAATAACATTAAATTAAATTAAACGTATTAGAAATGTTGCCTTTGAAACTAACTGAAATAAGTTGAAATATAAAAATGTATAAAAAATAAATAGAAATATAGAAAACCCTCATAAAACTAACAAAAAACACAAAGTTTCTAAAAGTTCAATTAAAATTGAAATGTAAACTGAACGTATATTAAAAAAAATAAAAACTACAACAATAGTATATAAGTAATACTAAAATGACACTACATTCAATATTATTCTCTCCATAATATTGACAATTTCATACTTTTCGAAAGTTTGGTGGACATACCTTCACTGTTTGAGAACTTCTGCTCCTAAAATTAGTAACTAGTACACACTGAAAAAGTTTTAACTGCCTTCTTATAAATCTGACGTGGATTATTGTGTATTTGACTTCAACTGTTTGGTTCTCTTTATGGGTGGTATTATAGTAAATCAGCCTGGAGAGTATCTGCTTATTTATATGAAAAGCCACTGAGAGGTCAGTTATAGTTATGATGCTGAGGTGCGTCCTTCAGACCCGGGCTGCATTACTCTTTAAACAGTCCCAGCATTAAGGAGGCAATGGGGTCAGGCCATGTCAAGCGTGGCGCTCCTGATCCTATCTCCCCATCGGCTCTGATAATTGATTGGCCGGCTGGCTGGGCTGAGGTCCTGATTGACCTGCCAGTCACCATATCCCCTGCATGGCCTCATGGGTCCTAGAGTCAGTCAATCAAGGTCCCATCAGCTTCCCATAAAACGCCCTGTCTCTGTGTCTACACGTGCACTCGGGCGTAGAACTCTCTCTCCTCTCACCTCCTCTCTCACTCTGACCAGCTGTCACACTTCGGTTGTGCTGCCATGGGAAGGACTGTAGTCTGTGACAAGCTTTACCAGTGTTTCTGGTTTAGATGGTGGCCATCAGAGAACATTGTGATTGTTTCTTGACAAAGGAACTATAAAGATTTTAATATCCTGTCAGGCTGTAGTAATGTTTGATTTTTTTCTTTCTTTTTTCATTAAATGGTGGTGGGTTTCAGGTCTGGACAGTTTTATTGCTTCACATTGTAATCTTGGATGAAAAAAAGCACATGTTCTGACTTCAAGAAAGAAACACCCCCACAAACACTGTTCTAACACAGGCACAATCAAACAGGAAAACATCTATATTTTTAAAGAATTAGTTGAAAGGTAGAAAATACTCCACAAATGATGCCCATTGCTCCTATAGTCACTGCTTCCATAAAGCATAAGTGAAAATGGTTGACAAAATAAGAGTCCTTGTTATTTATTTTAACCAATAGTTCTCTTTTGTCAGTCATGCAGTTATGTTACCTTTAACTTTGTAAGAACTGGAGAATTAAATTTTAATATATATTGATTCCAGTCTTTAACATTTCATACTACTTGACAGGAGAATACTTAGATGTCAGCTAGATTTTGACTCCAGATTCATATCTTGACATGTTAGCAATGAGAAATTCAATATCTAGATAATAATAAATAAAGTGGAATTTACAATTAAATGTAAAGTTCAGTTCATCCTCGAGAACAGAACACCCTCAACATAACCCAATTGTAACACTTCTTTCAAGATATTTGATTTTAATGCTATTATTGCTTTGAGGAGCTCCTGTAGCTTAACAGTAGAGAATGGCACTTGCAAAAGGATGGTCATAGATTTGGTTTGCAGGGAACACACAAACTGATAAAATACCCTGAATGCACTCTAATTTGCTTTGCATAAAAAGGTCTGTGTGCACAATATACTTATTAAGTTGTGACGTATCTAATAATGTTTCCAGTTCCAAGCCTCCACTCTATTACGATTGAGAATACTATCTCTACTACTTAATTTATTTATAGCACAGATTAAAGCTAAGCTTTTAAAAACTCACGGTGTACACTACAGTCTCTGAACTCACTGTGTTCCGGACACTAATAATTTATTGATTCAGAAAAGATGAATCACTGTCTGGCCAACTGAGATTTTGGTATGGAGATAAAAGTTAGAATCATGATTTTTTTTGGTTTGTAGTATTACAACATGTTGTATATTTACATTTAGTCATTTAGCTGACGCTTTTATCCAAAGCGACTTACAAATGAGGACAATGGAAGCAATCAAAATCAGCAAAAGAGCAACGATACACAAATGCTATGACAAGTCTCAGTTAGCCTAAATGTATATTAGCACCATTTTTTGTTTGTTTTTGTAATCTGAAAACAATGACACGTGGCATCAGACTTACAGTAAATAGAGTATTGTTGATATGCTGACCTTAAGTTGCAGTTGTCATTGTTTGCTGAATTTTTGGCGGGTGAAATTGTCATTTCAAAAGCAGATTTCGCAACAGGTTCAAGTTGTTCACTTAAATTTGCAGCGTTGAGCAGAAGAAAGCTGTTTGGTTTGAAAGTGACTTCTGTGTGAGTTCTTCACACATCGCTATACTACTGACAACAGACAATGCACCATTTGTACTTGCAAAATTTTGCAAATTATACTGCACATTTAGCCCAAATTACGCAACGTATCTATCAGTGGCATCGCTGTCAGTCTCACTGGAAGTTTGCGATACACAAGCCGATGCCATCTTTAAGTTTAAATGAGAAGTCTTTTGTAAGTAGCTCCTAGCTGTGAGTTAGATTGAATAGTTGTGGACGACAGTAGCAGTATGAGTCAGGGTGGATCTGTCTCTGGTTGTTTTGGACATAGATGGGGGGTGAAAGACTATCTGATCCTGATGAAACTTTGGCCATAATAACCTTCAATCGCTCTGCAGGCTACACAGTTTGAAGAATCAGACTGATGCAGGACATGCTGGAGGTAGATTCAGCCGTATGACTTCACCTCAGTGGGTGCAGTGCTCACAATCTCTCATCTGAAGGCTTTGAGCTGTCATCTTAAATTACTGCTGCAATGGTTTTCAGAGAAAACTGTTTTCTTAGAGGGGTTTGCTATTCAGCATAAACAGCGAGGGGTTTCTGGGATGCGTTAGAAAACAGGCCACGATTGCAATGATTCACCTCAGTGAACGTGTATGGATTCGCAGCTCAATCCAAACCTCTTTTTCTATCCTCATTAATAATATCACCCTTATCTGCACTCTGCCTCTCTGTCTCCCTGAGGAGCCACCCTGGATTCTGAGATATTGTGTCTTGTGGCTTTGTGACTGCCATGTTTTGTACTTTTCTATTTTTACCCTCTGGCTTGCTCAGCAGGGTTGGAAAGGACCAGATTACCTTTAAACAAACCCAGAGTTTAGTTGAGCTCCCTGGAACCTTTCCCCTTTGGAAAGGGCAAGAGTTGCAGAAAAATCTCCCAGACCTCTGAGTCTCCCTGAAGCGATACTCAGCTTGATTTAAAGCCAGACGGGAAAGAAGCCTGCAGATTTCCTGCCGGCACGAAGGGTGGAGATACATGCGTGTCTATGAGAGCGAGTGGGTCTCTGGGTTGAATCTGGGTCAGGCTGATGTGGATTTCTTTGCATCTCCTGCTTTTTTTGCATCTCCTGCCTTCATTTATTTGCACATGCTATCTGCAATATTAGCGGTAAAACTGGGTGGCAGGTGGTTAGTGAATATGACGTAGGTTTTTATGCAAAAATACCGTGCACAAAATGGCACAACTGTTTAGTGAATTTGCTCTTTTGTGTTAATGCTATATTTTATCCTCACATTCTTATACCTCCAATGAAGACTTCAGTAAACTTAACTAGGTATTTGAAATATTTTTGCTACACGGCAAAAGAATAGAACAAATGCAGTATCTTGAACATCTCATTCTTGTTCTTAAAACTCTGTTATGCCATAAATGGAAAGCATTACCAGTCATTTGCAGTCATTTTGTCATCTCACTACACATACATTGCCAGCATACAATGAAAAGGCTCCTGTGGTGGCTGTGCTTATAAAAGCTGTAATTTGTGTGTGTGTGATGGCGGAAATTCTGGCTTTTTCAGGTTTGTAGCTTTTTTTGCACGGTCTCGGCCGTGAGACTATGCACAGCTTCAATTATCTGTCACCCAGGATCTGACAAAAGGAAGTACATCCATTCTGGAAGTCACTCGGCTTTCAAGCTCAACCGCTTGTAAGAGGCGGCCAATGATTTTCGGCTTAGCCTCAGAGTTGAAGACAAGCCAGCACCCTCATTCAGTCAGCGTGGAAGAAAGCCAGTTCAAACTCGAATCTAACTACTGTGATGTGCCCTTGACATTCACGGCATTTGGTGAGTTTACAGGATGATGGGCATTATTTTTTAAAGTGCTAAGTTTGAATTCCTCTTGCTTTTATAGATAGCACTTAATAATAGTGCACATGACTCTAAAAATGACTCTGAAAAGCGATTCATGTTGTCAAAGTGTACTCTATCTTCACATTTTCAGTATGTATTTTTTAAACACACAGTTTACAGTGAGCATTCAATTATGTAAGAGTGACACGCTGAATAACTTTACTGAAATGGGCGTTATTTGTGGATCTGGTTACAATTTGATGGACAAATACGCTGTACTTACGAAGAAGACCTCACTAAAAACCACACACAGTGACGGTGATTCGGAGACAGCTTCTTACCGTATTCTCTGTGAAATTGTAATCCAAGGAGTACTGTAATTTGCCAAGTTTCTCTTCTTCCTTAGACTCCACCTCTTTCTCTGTATCCGTCAGCCCTGTTTCTGCATCATCCTCATCCTTCAAGGCCTGAAGGAGACACCCACTAACAGTCAGTCCCGTTGGCCCAACGCTGGCGCTGCCCGATTGCCCTCGCCAGAGCGCCGGGCCCGCCCTGGACCAGCCTGCTCTTCAACCGCACCTCTATTATGGGGGGAGCAAGCACTAAAACACCACAGCGATTAAGACCATGACATGCTCAGTGATGCACTAGACTTGGGCTGTGAACCCCCTTCTCTCCTACGGTCTGCTATTGTGAAAAGTTGTGAAAAGAGTTTCAAGAAGATGAACTGAATGGGTGCAAGCAATCTAGGTTGGTGGGAAGGGCAAGGCTAGGGCTGGGTGGTATGATAACGTATCGACTGCGCATATGGTACTATATCTAGCTATTTTACAAAGGCCTAGAACTTGGCTCATTCAATCAGTGGTATATTATATTATATTATATTATATTATATATTTAAGCCCACCCCATGTTAGATTATGAAAAGCTGTTTCTGCACAGTTGTCAGACAAATAATCATTTGTTATGAAAATCTTCCTAATAATTAACCTATGGCGCTGTCAAAATCGATCATAAATAAATAAATAAATACATACATATATAAAACAGCAACAACAAACATGTCATGTTATGTGTACCGGTACCATGATATAAAGTTACAATTATTGGTCATACCGTCCAACCCTAGGCAAGATGAGCAGACAGATGTTCTTAAGAAATACACTGTACAATACATTGTCCTTTATGTTATTTCAGGCAGAACAATCTCTGGCATCAACAAATCAGTGGGAAAATGTGAATGGTGTGGCATTAACTCCCTAGCTAGCCTTAGTTTAAGACCAGTGTTAAGGGGATTTCGAGGGAGGTTTGTTGTCGCTGGAAAGCATGCGATTGTCGAGGCAAACTCAGCTCTCAGTTCATTCACTGTGAAATAGTTGCCTTCCGAAAGGGCAGTCTTGCTCATCGGTAAAGCATGCAAGGCATTCACGTTCTTAAGAAGAGTGCTTGTATAGTGACCCTCATTCTCTGTGATGTGATCTTCCACATACAGTGGCGTTGTCATGACCCTTAGTTATTGGTGATAACCACCACGCTCATAGAAGCTGTAAGCATCATGCCAGCAGAAGGTGTTGGTGGGAGGGGTCGTTACAGGGCCTCTCTTATTAGTTGTTGGGTTACAAGTGTGAAAGCAAAAGGCTGAACAAAACTGATTTCTTGGCTGTCTTGTCCTCTTATGAGGATCAGACTATTTTCACAAACACTTGTGCGCTTCAATTCAACAACCTCTTTGGGGTGCTTGTTAAGTCTTGTGATGTATTTAAAGGCATAGTTCACCCAGAGATCATTTATTCACCCTCATGTTGTTGTTGTTCCAAACCCGTTTGACTTTATTTGTCCAGCAGAATGCAAAATTAAATGTTTAGCTGGATATGTGAGCTGCTTTTTTCCACATAATGAAAACGGATAGGAATTTAAGGCTTGTATAAGCCCAAAAACTGAACACCATAATAGTGGTCCATATGACTCAGGCACTATAGTTCGAGTCATATGATAGCATTGTGATTAAATATTAAGTAATTAATCACTAAAAATCATGCTTTTAAATTTTGTTTAACAGATGTAGTCAACATTAACTTTTAATGTGTGGAAAAGAGCAGCGTGGACATTCTGCTAAACTTCTCCTTTTATGTTTCAAGAAGAGTCACACAGCTTTTGAACAACATGACGGTGAGTAAATGAAGACAGGATTTTCTGTTTTGGCTGAGCTATTCCTATAAATGAGTCTTTTTGGAAGTGTAAAATGATTAAAAGTAGTTGGTAACACCCGTATGCAGCTGTGAGTGATACCCTTTGATACCCTTTCCATCTGACTGGAAAAGATGATGTTTCATAAACATGTCAGCCAATTAAAGATCAGTCTGGTCATCGTGTCTGAAAATTGCTTCTTGAACAAATTTGTCCTGCTAATGAGATGGGTGCTGTTCTCCTCCAGGACATTTTTCAATTTTAAGTTCTAGTGGACCAGATGAGTACTGATAATTTGGCCAAGGGCAGTCAAACAAGCTGAATGTATCACTAGTAGTTAAGCAGTCCATACTTTGACAGTCTCCTTTTTACTGGAGAAATTATCATAGTCTGTTTTCTACTTCAAATGACAAGTAGAAATCAATGTGGTTCAACCTTGCTAAAGCGTACCCAAATGCATTTTATCTCTTCATATATATGTGTATATGTAGACTTACACATATATATATATATTGTAGATATACATGTACTGTATGCATAGTTACATATATTTTACTCTACTAGAGTAAACCTGTTGTCAAGAGGCTATTAAAAGTCATTGCAGCAGGCTATAGAAGATCCAACAGCAATTGGGAACCTACCGCCAGTGGCAATCCCGCAAAGTCATCAGACAAAACATAGATAAGGAGGACATGGAAGGAAGAGACACAAATTAAAACAACCACACACAAAGGCGACCACATGAGTCAGGGCATACCAGGAGAAATGACTGCTGAGAAGCTCAAAGCTCCTTCTGCTGACAATACAACAAAGATGTATGTTGTGCAGGACATTGTACTCTGGCATATCGCTCTGATTGTTGTGTATCGTTCTTAATGTCTGTGCTAATTTGCTAAATAAGAGTGACAATTCATTAATCTCTCATATTTAGCCAATTAGCACAGGTATTACAATTTATATATGGGTGTTTCCCTGCTAAAACATCAGGTTAAATTAGCCTAAATTGTTATGTTGGCTTTAGCTGGTCTCCTAACCTGGCCAAGATGGTCTTCATCTGGTCTTCCAGTGACCCAAACCTTCTAAAACTATTAATAAGACCAGCCTAACCAGCTTGGTCCAGTTGGGAGAGCAGTTAAACACCTTAGCCTGGTTTGTTTTATTCAGAAGAGTTGTGTTGCAAAATATTGAATATATGGATTTCAATGGCTGTAGCCATTTCTTATTTCTATTTTGAAAGTACTAATACACAATGCTGGTGGGTAAATATCATATAGCAGCTATTGTATATCTGTTCAGATTTGGTTTGATGCTGATAAACTGTGACATTCTAGAAATGCACACTGGGTTTTTTAAAGAGTGCTGTTAATTATCTGTGTCTGTTCCTCTTCACTGTGCTTTGTGCTCGAAAATCAATGTCTCTAATTTGGGATCTGAGTGGTCTTGGCATGGTCTCAAAGCCAGTGTTCTTACACTGCGAATTAAGCTGACTTTGTCAATTATTCTGTTAGAAGTGTACTATTGCGAGCATGTTAATGCAATTAGCATGCTAACTAGGGTTAAAGTGCCAGTGTTCCATATAATTTGTGGGTGTGTGAGAAAAAGCGAGCTGCATTAATGTTCTTTCTCCTATTGTTTTCATTATCTACTGTCATTTCTCTGGGTTGATAACACTTCATAGCACAGTTAACCATATGCAGCACTACAAAGTGAATTAAGCTAAATGCAAGAAAAACAGAAAAACTCAATACTTTAATGAACCGTTAACATGCCCAGGTTTGCAGTCCTGCAATGAAAGTCAGCTGTGAAACAACATCATCAACAGATGACTCCATCTAGAGTTGTCTTATGAACATACTTAATTGGCATCGTGCATTAATACAATACTATTTGAGTAAATAAATATTTCATGCAACTTCTGACGACTAAAAAACAAGGCCAATCCAACAGCAGTAACAAAATGTTTTTACCTCGGTTTTGATACCGTCAGTGACGTCCTTCATGTTGATGGCATTCTTGCCCTTGTCTTTGCCCTTTTTCTTGTTCTTCTTCTTGAATATCCACTTTTTGCAGATGCAGAAGCAGCAGGAAACAACTAGTACAACAGCAACAAACGCAATGGCAACGATGGCCCATGATGGCACTGTGCAGACAAAAATAAACAAGAAAACTCAATGCACTTATACAGGCATCTTTATAACAACCACTTTTATTTCATTTGTAAATCATGCACTACAGTAATGGTCGACCAATATATTTCCAAGGCCGATATATCGGCCGATATTTGCCATTTTTTCAAATACTGGCATCGGCCGATAAGTTTTTCCTGTTTGGCCGATGTGTTCGGGAATTTTATTTAGACTGCGTGCCAGACTTTTATTTTTACTGCGCTGAGAACGGCAGCACCTGACTGAGCACAGCGCGCACATTCCCCCTCTTCATTGTTTGCCTTCACAGTTTAACAGTTCTTTCTAATAGGGATATAAGCCTGTCTAATAATCAGATAGAATGTTAAAAAAGGAATTAAAAGGTATACAAAAAGTATTATAATGATTGCTTTTATATTATTATTAATAGAAAGGCAAACATAATACTTTCTCGTTTACCATCAGCATTCAGCAAATATGCATTTATATAATTTAAACAAATCTTTGAATGTCTAATAAACATTTAATTTTGCAAACCTTGCAGACTTAATTAGATCCAGCTGTGAGATCTTAAAAAGTGTAAAAATTTGTATCCTGCATTATACGATCGTGTGTTCTCTGCGTAATGGTCAGTCCGTGCAAATTGAATGCTGCGCTTTATCCATTTGCCCTCTGTCATGTTCATGTCATTTTCACTATGCGCTGTACGGAAAATGAGTGTTACCTTGATATTATTTGAAAAGTAAATATTCCCAATGCACACAAACTTCTCAGATTACTGAGAGCCCTGTTGGTTACTGTAGATAACTTGACTACTTAAATTTGTAAGGGAATTGGTGGTCACAAGACATCGTGGTTTCTATATGTTGTGAACGAACCTTTTCAGTCCTTGATACAAAGAAAGCTTTGTTGTCTCTTGATTGGATCAATCTTTAATCACTCCTCTGAGTAGATGACGACACGACTGGCAGGAAGTCGACCCAGAATATTGGAGTCATGTGCTGGGATGATTAGCAAACCTCCTGATGGCTGATAGGAGCATAGCAGTGTCCGTTCATGTACTAGAAATCCCTACAGTTACAGTGTTTCCTTTTTATTTATATATATATATTTTTACATTTCTTTATTTGTGAAAAATACTTTAATAGGATTACAGAATCGAATAGTAGTTTTCGTCTAAAGTATAAGTATGTTTATTTGACACATTTATCATTTTCAAATTATTTCAAATTTCTTAAATATTAATTAGAAGAAATCAAAATGATATATATTAGCCATCGGTCACCCTGCTCTCTAAGATATCGGCCTCAGCATCGGCTGTCAAAAAAACAATAAAAAACAATATCGGTCAACCACGACACTACATTTTACATTTTTTGAGGCTATGTGATAGGTTTTTGAGACAAACAGACCACATTTTAATTTGCTATAAAAATCTGCCTTTAAAAAACATTACTTTCACTGGAAAAGAATAGTGAATCCTTTTTGGTTTCACAGAACCAAGAAATGTAGTCTAGGTTTATAAAGGATAATTAAAATGGCAGAATTGTAATCTTGAGATAACTATTAATTTATTAAACTTTCTCCATTCAAGCCAATAAAAGTGGTATTCAAATAGCTGTTATCAAGATGGCCACCAAACAAGCTTTCATGATTTCAAATAGCCATGCTCTTTATGGTTCAATATATTCCCAGAGCAATGAGGAAACGCAACAGGCGAAAAGTGAAAATGACGAAAAGTTTCAGTCTGTTGGTTGACACACTTTGATCAATTGCCGGAGACCTTCATGTCTGCCGGTCGCACAGGATTAACGATCTTCGCTCAGAGAGATGTTGCAATGCTCTAGTGAGAGTAATCAGCCAATTTAGTTGAAAACCGGAGCTGTTGGCATTCACAACTTGCCATTTGATCACTCTTGGAAGACATTTTGAGCTTGACATTGTTTAAGCAATCACGCTCAGCGCCCGGATTTGTTTGATTGTCAAGGACAGTGTGGAACTAAATAAACGGAACAAAAATACTCCAAAAAGTATGTTGTTTAATGAGGTTTGAACTTCACAAACAAGAATTTATGCACACTGACCAAATTGCTTGGCCTCCAGAAACTTGTTTTAAAAATATTGTGAGCAATTTACATCCATCACTTACATCCATAGTGATGGACTTTGTGCTAGAATAACTGAAAATAGTATTTCCTCTTCTGGTCATGACTTTATAAATACAGCTCCAAACTCCAGTGAGCACTGTCAGGGGAGGACAATCGAGCTCCTCAGCTTTTCGACAAGATTAACAGCCTCCTGCCAAGAGAAAGAGCAACGCCTCTATACAGCAGGACTAAAACTGCATGCGTCAACAGAGCACGAGCACCAGATACGAAAATGTCAGTTTCCGAGACGCGAGAGAAGCTTCCTCCCCGAACCAACATTTGCTGGGAATAATTGGTAGACAGATGTGGTGGAAGAATTCTGCATTCAGAGACTCATACAGTAATTACGGCTTTTGCGCACAACACAACAAACACCTGGCAACTGAATGGCAACTTTCAGGGAAGCAGATTTCTCCAGAAAAGAAGCCGATTTTTCCACTTCAGATTTGAATGTGCTTGATTTGCTCTGGGACAATGCAGAGTCAAGGACTGTATAAATAATGTCAGGCTCCAGTGCACGAAAGACATCTTGTACTCTGCATTTGGGAAACAAGCAAGCACTCATACATGTTATGGTGCATCTCAAGAAACCTGTCAAGGTCACATTTCACCTGAAAATCGGAAGAAATAAAAAAAAGCAGTTTTGCTAGAATTGTAATTAAATGTAATCTTTCTTATCAATTCTCATTTAAATTTGGGAGTTAAATGTACTTAACTGTCTTTAAAATAATGTCACAATGAAATCACAAGGGGATAACTTAATGACTAAAATGTAATTAAATTTAATTTAAATTTAAACATTATTTATTTTTATTTAATTTATTTAAAAAATGATCTAACAAAATGTATTATTAATATATATAGTTTTTTTTTCTGTGAAATTCCAGTAAAATGTAATCTGGACACATTTTGGGTGAGATTTATCCATTATATATTTAAAATTTCGACCATATCCAATATATCCTGACAGCCTATTTTCCCCTAAACATCCTCAATTTGAAACATGTTTTGTTTCTCTTATCATGGTGTGAGGACTTTATATTTGAATTGGCAGTAGGAAAAAATTAAAATAAATGTTAGCATCTTTGTCTCCCAGGAGGGTTAGACTCGCTATCACAGGACACATTTCCCACAGCATGATCCAAAGGGAGAGCAAAAGGGGAAGATAAAGAGTGAGAGAGAAAGAGAGAAAGAAAAATCAATTGGCTGTTGACAAAATCGATAAGCACTCTCCTCTGAGGAAAAACAGTGAGTGATAGTCTAAAGTAACTTTGGGATCATCAGCCCACGGCCTCGACTTGGTTGTGGGGTAATGGAGGTGACAATCCTCCACTTTTTTCCTTTCTTTTTTCCTTCTTTAGCACACCCCTCACTGGACTACATCCATTTATAAAAAAATAATAATAAATAAATACAATAATCAAATGGTTTTAGCTTATGCATAGACCTAAAGTATGTTCCCAGATGGTTCATTCAAAATTAAGAGCAATTAACAGGGATCCCTAGTGTGTTTCTCTTACATGCTTTAGGAAATGTATTACAAATACATAACATTTCTAATTTTTAAATCCTGTTTACACCAGATTATCCAAGAAAATGGTTTGTGAATAGCGTTTCCTGTTGACATTAAAATTTGATTGGTTGAATATCTTGAATAGCTGAGTAAATGTGTTTTGCACATTTAGCATAACATTTTAGCATGGTATTAGACATGAAAAGAAAAGGAAAAAATGGATATGAAAAAAACAAACATAACAAAAAAATAAAAAGCCTCTCACCAGGCTTTCGAAAAGCTTTTTCCAAAGCCCTGTCATTTCAACTCTTTTCAAACAGAGGAGAATCTGTCAGCCATCTTAAAGGCCACTCTTATTGGTCAGTTGTGCTGCGTCTTCTTTGAAAGCTTGCAGCTTAGACCATAATTGCTCCTGAAGCTTGTCTAGCATCAGACCCCTGATTCATACCTGTTAAAACCTGCTCTCTGGCCCTCACTTTTTTCTCCACCACTGGCCTGAATATCAGCCCGCTGGGGGAATAAAGAGCCCCTTTCACCTGTTAAAACCTGCTCTCTGGCCCTCACTTTTTTCTCCACCACTGGCCTGAATATCAGCCCGCTGGGGAAATAAAGAGCCCCTTTCATCTCTATGCCTCCTCTAAAGCAAACCCTGCCACGTGGGACTCAAACTGCACAAAGCATTGAGCCGTCTTTGGCTTAGACCAACAAGTGCTCTATCAGTTTTCCTGGAGTACTATCATTTTGAGATGCGCCTTGACAGCTGTGTCATGCAAGATTATATTGCTACGTTTCATTCAACGATGTACTTTGAAATTTGCAATTGAACGCCATGTGAAATCAGACCTCAAGCTTGGGAAATTTGTCAGTCCACAAGTCAGATTTATTGCTGAGATGAGTGAGTATAATGTTGCATGACCATGGTGATATTGTGATATAGTGAATTAATGATATACAACCACTTTTAAGCTAATTAAAAATCATCAAATGCATCAAAAAAAGTTAGAATCTGACTTTAAAACAGCAAAGGAATGGGCACAGTAAGGCAGTTTTCCATTTAAAGTTGAAAGTTAATGTTAAAAGTTTGAAATTCTGATTTGTAGTTGAACAGAATGAAACATAACTGATGTCTGATTATTCGGAAATTCTAGTCACACTTTATTTTAAGGTCTAATTCTTGCCATTAACAAAACATTAACTATGACTTCTGCCTCAATAAACTCCTAATTTGCTGTTTATTAATAGTTAGTAAGGTAGTTGTTAAGTTTAGGTATTGGGTAGGATTAGGGATGTAGAATATGCTCATGCCGAACATGTGCTTTATAAGTACGAATAAACA